GGTAGCTTCGATGACCATCAGTTTCCAGGATCATAGCTCCCTAAGAAACACTCCATCATTCTCAGAGATACACCAGCATTCCTGACACCCCTTTGCTTTGCTCAAGTTCATGCCCTTGTCTGTCTGATGTTGCAAGGACTATGTGTGTTTTTAGAGTTAGGTGAACTTGAGTGTGGTCCTCCTGCCTATTCCAGTCTTCTGAACTCTGAGCTTCATTCCTCCTAGAAACTGGGTGCCTTCAAAAGAGTCAGCTAGGCCGGGAATTGGTGGCACATGCCTTTAATCCCAGCACTCAGGAGGCAGAGGCAGGTGGATCTCTGTAAGTTCCAGGCCAGCCTGGTCCACAGAGCGAGTGCCAGGATAGGCTCCAAAGCTACACAGAGAAGCCATGTCTCGGGAAAAAAAAAAAAAGAGAGTCAGCTAGATCTGTGTGTTTTTGGCATATCCTACAGTGTACCATCTGTCAGAGTGAGAAAGGAGCAGAGAATCTACAAGCATCTACAAGTGAGCTGCCCTCCATTGTGGCATAGAATAAACTCAGATCATCTTACAGCTGGGCTCAGGTTAAAGCCTTTGATCTCAGAAAGCCCCAAGTGAAAAATCCTAACATGTAACCAGGGCAACCTGTCATACCCCCTCAACACTGAAGCTTGTTGAATGTTCCCATCCATGGATTCAGTAGGGGGCAGACTCTCATTTTCCCATTGGTGAAGGATGAGTGATGGATAATGAGAAAGAGACACATCATTAATGGACCCCAGACTGTGCTAAGCCCTCTACCTGGGGAAGAGGTCTGGAGGGAGTCTTGCAAAAGAGCATTTTAGGGGAAATTTTTAAATCAAATTTGAAACATGATTTTACAATTTATAAAATAATTGGATCACAATTATGTTCTAAACCAACAACTATTAAAAGTGATTCTCAATGTAATTGGCTTGCTGTTATTTTATGGAACCGAAACCATTGTCTTGAGATGGAGTCATGGGTTTCGCTAGATTGCCAGAGAGGAGAGAGACGGACACAGAGAGACACAGAGAGATATTGGGAATTAGGCGGTAACTATATACATCCCTTCCCCTGAGCATGGAAAATGCCTTCCAGCTGCCTTGAGGCATGGCTCTCCCTGTTTTGTCTCAGAGGTGTCTGAGACATTCCCTTTGGTGTCCTGTGCTCACACTCCAATTGGTCAAAGTCTCTCAGCAGTAGCGCGGAGTGGAGAATGCCATGCCCCTTTTACTCGGTGTAGATCTGGGCATGAGTCAGTCTTGCCCATTTCCACTCTAGCTGCAAAGCTTCAGTAAAGGGTGGAGTCTGTTCCAAGAAGGGCTCTCCAGGCAGAGGAGGGGAAAGGGGCTTCCTTCCACAGTCAGTCAGAGGAGCTGCTGGCGACCCAGGCCGAGGGTATTCTCCACTGTGCTGGAAGACCCAGGGAGACAGAAAGAAGTGGGGAATTGTGACAGTACCTGGAAGGGACTTCTGAGTTAGAAAGTTGGTCTTAAGCCTCTGCCTCTTTCCCATCTCCAAGCTTGAGGGGGGCGGGGGAGGGGGGGCAATGCCCTGCAGTCTCCACTGCGGAGTTGGCAAGCATTTGCTCTCCTGTGAGCAGAAGAGTGCCCGTCCTTTTCTGTAGCATCCTTCAGAAAACCTGACTCATGCTCTACACAGTATCATCCTGCCCCGAGGCAAATCGATTTCAATTGCCATTGACTTGAGCTGCATTTGAAGACGACATTCAAGTGGCCGTGGAAGCCGCTTTCCCTCCCACCTGCTCCCTGCTCCAAGACAGCAACCACAAGTTTAATCTTCTCTAGCTCCGGTTTCCTGTCCTGCTCCAGGGCTGGGGTTCATTTTGTTTTCAGGGTAGAGTACACTGTGAATATGATGTCCAAGAGTGGGGAAAGCCGGGTGGCTCAGGCTGCCCACCTGACCACACACACCTCCTGTCAGGTCTCAGGATATTCCAAACATTGTGCTCCTACTTGCCGTGGTCATCCTGATTGTCCGAGTGTCTCAAAGGAGTAGTGAAACCAGAGTCCCCTCCTAACTCACAGTTAGTGGGTTCAATATCCCCGGTCACCTCTAACCAGGGGCTGAGCGAGCCGTTAACTAGCATGTGGGAAACTTACCCCCTCTCCCAGCGGAGTCAAGTCTAAACGGTTGGTGAAGGGTCTCAGGTTTGGGGGTCAAATGGACACTGAGGTGGATTGTCTTTATAGGTAAAAGATTTATCAAATGAGTTATTAGCACCACAGATGGACAGACAGCAGTGTCTGGGATCTCCTTCTTCCAGGTTCCAGAGGAAGTGGGGGGGGGGGGGTTCTATGCCCTGTGTGATTGACAGGTAGTCCATAGTATGTGGATGCAGTGGTGCTGTTTTTGATTCCTGGATGGCCGGGGGTAGGGTAGTGTGTGGGATGAGGGTGGGGGAATCTGTTAGTCTGGTGCCAGTCTGCAAAATCAGCTAGGAGGGGAGAGAGAGCAAGAATCTGGAAAGAAAGCTAATGAAGGAACTTCCCAAAATGGAGTGGCCCTGGCTAACAATTAGCATGTGAAACTGTTGTTAAGCGCAACTAGGGGAGATGAGTTGCATAGTTTTTGTTAATTTTAAATTTTTTGTGTTTTTTTATGTATATGGGTATTTTTCTTGAGTGTATGTCTGTTTACCATTTGTGTACCTTGTGCCCACAGAGTCCAGAAGAAGATGTTGAACCACATGAAAGTGTAGTTCCAGGCAGTTGTGAGCTGCCACATGGATGCTGGGAGTGGAACCCTGGTCGTCTAGAAGAGTAGCCAGTGCTTGTAATGGCCGAGCCATCTTTCCATCCCATGCTGTATCTTTCGAGCACATATAGGTAGGCTAGGGGACTTCTCATATTGTACACGGTACTATGGGTGGAGGCTCTCAACCTCTGTGTAGCTGTTTCTACCACACAGTTTACCCCGCCCGCACTAACCCACTCCGTGGTTCTGTTAGCTACTTACATCTCCTTAGCTCTTTGAGAACCCACTTTTCCTTTGTAAATCAAAGACAACACACTCTCTTACCAGAGTCCTGCGATACAGAAGGGGGATGTGTGGTTGAAATGATCTTAAGAGTCCACGACACAGAGGACGAAGATGTCAGCCCCTCTCTGCCTCTCTCCCTTGATCACAGCAGAAATCTACCATAACTTGGGTGGGTCAGCTTGCTGATTTGTGAGATTCAAGACAGAATAAAAAAATCTCATCTTCTAAGGCAGTGACTCCCAACCTTCCCAATACTGCAGCCCTTTAATACAGTTCCTTATGTTTTGATGACTCCCAACTACAATTATTTCGTTGTTACTTCATCACTGTAATTTTGCTACTGTTATGAATTGTAATGTAAATATCTGCTATGCAACCCCCATAAAAGGGGTCTCAGCCCATAGGTTGAGAACTGCTGTTCTAAGGTACCAGTTAGCCAGCTGGAAGAAATCTCATTTTAGCTGTTTGTTGCCTGTTAGTTAACTTACTATGAGTGTGGAGCTTGTCGCATATGTCCTGAAATAACCATTGTTGACTCTGGAAAATTATATATCATCAGATATACCATGGACTAAGTGGCTTTCCTGTTAAATTAGCTATTTTGATCAGTGTATGTCCTTTGCCTGGTAAGTGTCTTTGCTTCTTCATTTTGAATATTCATCTCAAGGTGTAATGTTAGGGAAAGTCTTCGTGAATCTACCAACATTTTCTTGTCAGTCTGGTTTAGAAGGACCTAAGATGTCATCTGTCTCTATATTATGTGCTCAAACCCGTAGGAGTTAGACTTCTCAACAAAAGCCCAGTAAAAATCTCCTGATGACAGAAAGAGTAAAAAATGTTTCCACATCAAACTTGGAAAAGCACCTAAACATACCTTATTCCACCCTTCAGGCACCTCTGTGGAGGAAGATACTAAAAATGTCTTTGAACAGGGAGATTGAATATATAGACTTAGGGAGGCCTCTGTACCCTGTAGTGGTGCCATTTGACCACAAGGTGGCAGAAGCCGCCAAACAGTAATCCCATGCATTCTAAGCAGACATGTCAAGCTGTCTCTTGTTTTGGCTCCCATTCTGTGGGCACTGTCATTGGCTATGGTAAGAATTCATCTCCTACAGTCAAATGCTCAAATAAAGCCAAACTCTTGCCTTTCTGCCTGATGCTTCACTTCCTTCTTAACAGGGTTAAGTAGGAGGGAGGCCCAAGCCTGAGCATCCCAGAAGGGGCTAGAACATTGAGCTCTACCATGATGAGTTGGCTTGACAAGCTAAGTGATGATTCAACAGGGATGGGGGCATATTAATATCTTTGTTTCCATTTTGAGCTTTCTCTTGCAGGTTGTAAAATACAGTAATCTGTAACAGCCTACACTGGGCTATCACACAGCCCTGCTATTTTAAACGTCCTAATTGGGTTTCTCATCTCTGTTAGGAGAACTGGAAGGTGTGGGAAGATGAAAGAGGCGTGGAAAGACACTTAATTGGCTCTGTGTTCTGTGGATTTTTATGTAATCATGAGGAGGTCTTATATAAAAAAACTGGAGGAAGATGGGCAGACCCTCTGGGCACTCAGCTTGTATGAGGGTTGCAGCCTGCAGTGACAGAGCAGAAAAGCCTGCCTCTCAAGGCGCATGTCTCCTGATGTCAGGCCAATCACGTTGCCTCTACTTGTAAAGCTTTTGCCACACAAGGTCAAGTAAATCTTGGCAAAACAGCTTAACCAGAGCAGAAAATATTCCCAACCTGTGAAAATAAAAAGCAAGGCCATATGAATTCAGTGTGTGTGTGTGTGTGTGTGTGTGTGTGTGTGTGTGCGTAGGCCAGAGGTTGACATTGGGTGTCTTCCTTTGTCCTCTCCTACCTCATTTTTAAAGATAGGGTCTCTCACAGAACCTGGAACTCCCAGATTGTGTTAGACTGGCTGGCCAGCATGCCCAGGGGCTCCTCATGTCTCTGTCTCTTTAGTTCTGGATCACAGGTGTATGGCACCATTTCCAGCCTTTTTATGTGTGTTTTAGGGATCCAAATTAATGCCCTTAAGATCCCAGGACAAGCACTTCCCCAGCAGAGATATCTCCCTAGACTCAAGGGCTTTCTTGAATTTCCCGTAGATTTGCAATGCTGGGTCTGTCTAAAAGCATTTTTGACCCAAGCTTTAGGAATTGCTTGTTCCCCATTAAACACTTTGCCTCTGATGAATTATTGAGTCAGAGCCTTGTTTAAAGAAAGCAGAATTTGTGTCTTTTCTCCCCCATGTATTACTCTGTGGTTGCAGGCCAGGAGGGTGGTGCTGCTGAGCACGAGGTTCAGGGGAGGTGCTCGGCATGGCCTTCTCAGCCAGAACCCCAGAGCTCTGCAATGCAGAGCTTACTGGCATAGACTGCTTGCAGGCAGGCCAGCTCAGCGCTGTTAAAGTCACAGCCCTGAATTATCTCCCTCCCTGGCCACACCCAGGACAAATCTGACAGTTGAAGAGTTGGCTTCCTCAGGGTCTCCACATCTTCAGTCCAAGCTCTGGGGCTGTAGTCTGAGAAGATGGGCAAGAAGACAATTTTAGGTTACAGTTCTTAGCAGCTTTCTTACACACCAGCTTTGCTGCTGAAAACTCAGCCTTATTTCCAGGGTAAATTCTCCCATATTTCCATTTATGTAATCAAATATTTCCATCTATGTATCAAGCCCATCTCACTTGTGTGGGGACCCCGGGAAAGAGCTGTACTTCCGGCATTAGTGACCCCAGGGCCCAGGCAAGTCGTCTGTAACAAGGGAACAAGATCCTGCCATTCTTTGCTAAGTTGCCTAGCAGGAAGTACCCTCCACCCAGGACCCTTCCCAACTTGAAAAGAAACAACTTGACCCAGTCCTCTACCCATAAGCTCAGTCTCCTAGGCAACCCTTCCTGGATCTCTTCTTACTCATGAACTCTTTACCCTGCCAAACATCCTCTTTGTGGCTTCCTAATATCCTGCCTACACTAACACCTGGTGCACAAACAACCCATTCTACCCCTCCCCATATCCTGCTCTACTGACTATATAAGCTAGCCTGAGAAAAATAAAGTTTGCCACTGGATCAGAATCCTGTCTTGTGGTTGTTCTTCCTGGGTCTCTTGTCCCCATTCCCTGTCCCTGACTCTCTTGCCCCATGTTGATGTCCTGTGGGTCGGGACGTGGAATATTGTGAACAGAGGAAAGAGCACACCAGAGTGGACCTTGTAAAGGTATTCTGGGGAGTCATGAAACATCTATTGCCAAAGGGGGAGTAGAAGGAGAAGCTTCCAGGATCAGGGTTTGTGAATGGTTTTCAGAGTGTGGAAAGGAGATTGATAGACTAGAGGATGACCTGATGGAGCCCTCTGAGAGGAGCCCTCTGCTTAGCTCCTGGTAGCAGGCTTATGAGGGTGCAACTCACAGTAACCCAGATTTTAGGTCCTATGGTTAAGGCTATGTGTTGATGGAAAATCCAAATACAATTAGGAATGTTAACAATTCTCTGGGGCTTTACATAAGTCCATATCCTTATGCCTGGCAATGGGGTGCCAGCTCTACAGATCTACAATAGCAGCCAGCAATTACATCTGCTGTATGAGCATGAGGGCCGATGTAGAGGGTTGCTTTGAATCATTATGGTAACTCATTAACTCCTCACTAGGTACTAGTAATGACTCCATTTTGCAGGTGATACAAATAGAGATCATAAAGTCAAACCACTTGTTCAAGGTCACAGAGCTAATAAGTACCAGGCTTGCTTGTGGACTCAGCAGCTTGGGGACAAGCCAGGGTCTCCTGAAAGGATAGCAACTCTGTCTTCATACAAATCAGCAGACTCTGAGGTAGAAGAGAGTGAAGGCCAGGGGAAATAAAGGCACCGTGAGAGACCAGGAAGGAGCAACAATACATCCAAGAGAAGAAGATTTTAAAAATATAGGAAACAAAATTATCACTCTGTGCTTTTCCAGAAGTGTGAGCCTTTCTTCAGGTGAGTTCAAAGCAAAGAGTCCCAAGGTTCATACCTCACATAATCTTCAGATGTCACCATGCAACACTGGCTTGTTTGCCATGACAACATCCACTTTTTTTATATTCAATTTTGTCTCCGTTCATTCATTCATTCATTTGTGTATGCATTAATTCACATAAACTCTGAGCTCTTACTTGATATCAAGTCCTCTGCTGTCTTAGACATTAGCAGTGCAAGCATAGCTTTTAATAGCACCTTGGTTTTCCTCTGTAAATGAACACTTCAATTTCTTCTCCCCACTTGATGGACATTAATAGTGTCATCCTGCCCTGGAAAAATAATAACAAATAATAAGGGGACGACGTTTTGATGAAGAGCCCATTTCCTACCTTGTCTACACTGCGAACAGCATATCTCTTGCCTTCAGAGAACTTACAACTTTGATTCGCTTCTGACATGAGACGTAAATAAAGAGCTATCCGTGTCACAGTATCTTTTTGTTGATAAGTTGAATATATATGGGAGCACAGAGAAAAACACTATCAGATATGCTGCACAAGTATGCTAATGTATCTGGTTAGAATACCAGCTTAAAAAAATTTGGAAAGAGAGATGGACCATCTAAGATGGAAGAGGAAGAACACTTGGAAAGCGCTGTCTGAATTGATTTAAGATCTGTCTGTCGAGGCCCATAGAAGTGGCTCCACTTCATCTCAAGGTCAGAGAGTTCGAGCCTATTATTGCTCTTTCAAGGTTAAACCACAGTATGTTTGGCCAAAGGTGTAGCTAATGGATGTCAACAGGATATTTGGTTTAGGGTGTGACTACTTGATGTTTTTGATATTACGGAGGAAACTGTATCTGTTTGTTCCTTGTATCATGGTAAAGAAGACTTTTGCCTCCCCCCCTTTTTGTTTGTTTGTTTTGTTTCTCCATTTTTAAAATTTAAATTAGAAACAAGATTGATTTACATGTCAATCCCAGTTCCCTCTTCATCCCCTCCTCCCCTGCCCCCCACTAACACCCTACCTATCCCATACCATTTCTGCTCCCCAGGGAAGGTGAGGCCTTCCATGGGGGGGGGTCTTCAGAGTCTGTTATATCCTTTGGGATAGGGCCCAGGCCCTCCTCTGTGTGTCTAGGCTCTATGTGGAATGGGCTCCCAAAGTCCATTCCTACGCTAGGGATAAGTACTGATCTACCACAAGAGGCCCCATAGATCTCCAAGGTCTCCTCACTGACACCCACGTTCATGGGGTCTGGATCAGTTCCATGCTGGTTTCCCAGCTATCAGTCTGGGGGCCAAGAGCTCCCTCTTGTTCAGGTCAGCTGTTTCTGTGGGTTTCACCAGCCTGGTCTGGACCCCTTTGCTCATCACTCCTTCCTCTCTGCAACTGGATTCTGGTTCAGTTCAGTGTTTAGCTGTGGTGTCTGCTTCTACTTCCATCAGCTGCTGGATGAAGGCTCTAGGATGGCATGTAAGTTAGCCATCAATCTCATTATCAGGGGCAATAAACTTGGGGCGGATCACAGTATTCACTGGATGCCCTCCTAACTCTATCTTCTGTTTCTTGTCTATTTCTTTCCTCAATCCTCACTCCTCCTTTGAAGCATGGACTGGATAATTCTTCTGGAATGGGCAAAGGTCAAGGACCAGGCTGTGGGAGTGGGCAGGGTGGGAGAGCGTGGCAAAAAGATGGCCAGGTCAGAGGGAAGATTAGGCGCTGTTAAGGTCACAGTGGACCCTGAAGAGTGGATGAGAGTGTGAAAATGTCTTCTTCTGCATGTCCTTCAGCTAAGAGGGGACACAATATAAATGGTGCTCTTAAGTTGATTAATCTGGCACTGCAGTATAGCATCGATTAAGGAGGAAAAGACATCCAACCAGCTGGAAAATGACTGTGGTAGTCTAGATAGGGGATGCACATGCCCTAAAATACAAATGTGCTTGTGTTCAGCACCAGCCAACTTTCCGGCCTCCAATGCACTGTCAGATCCACCTCACAGGCTTTTCCCACTCATCTCTGTAAGTGATGGCACTTGCAAGGAGGAAACTTGATCCTTCTCTTGGAAATGAAAAAGATCAAGGCTGAGTGTGCTGCTCAGTGGTAGAGCTCTTGCTTAGTGTGCAGGAGACCCCGGGTAGATGCCCAGGGCCTACCAATCAAGCAAGCAACCAGTTAGTCACTCAATCAAGCTTAGAAAGGTTATATAATTTGTGTAGGTTCTTAAAACTGAGATGCTAGGTTCTGGATTAGTTAGTTTTTGGCCCAGAGTGTTCTGTATTACATGATACTTGTCCTTTTTAGTGCACTATGCTGCTGCAGGTGTGTATGTGTTTGTGTTTGTGTGTGTGAGTCTATGTGCATGTGTGTGTGTGTGTGTGTGTGTGTGTGTGTGTGTGTGTGTGTTCACATAAAACAAGGATTGGGGAGCAGTGTCAGGAACTCAGTATTCAGACTGAGCTGGAAGAGGTGAACATCTCCACTGCTGACAGAAAGAAATTAGATTCAACCAAACATAAATGACTTGGGGGATTGGATGGAAAAATAGACATTTACAAGAGGGAGGCAATTGTTCAATGGTAGAATATTTGTCTAGTATGCACAATCCTCAGTAATGGGAAAAAATGAGACAACTGTGCATACGTAAAGATCTTTGCCTTGGAGTATGCATGAGAAAATGATCTGAAGATAAATAATTTAGGAAGAACTAGAAACTTTTGGCATAACCCATTAGAATCTGTGTTTTAAAGAAGTGTGTGGAGGGGGGAAATGAGTGACTTTAAATTATATTTAATCATAATAGCATAAGAATTGACATTTAAATATTTCAGGGAGATTTGAAAGGCTCTGGGATGCCTTCATAGGAAACGTTTCTAATATAAAGATTTCTCAGAAGGACAAGGAGATGCTTTGTAAGGTGTGATGGGGAAGAATATAAAACAAGACCAAACTTCACGGAAGTGCCACAGCCTAAGCCTAACGACAAGCATTCTACCCCCAACTAAAGAATACTTATTTACTACTTAAAACTCCACTGTGGACCCATAATACACTCTGAAGTTTTTACCCCATATCATAAAACACGTATAACCTCAACTCCTGTTTCCCCAGAGTTTAAATATGTCAAGACACAAATTCTTTGGGATTTAAATAAGTTTTTATTTTAGGCTTAGAACTCTCAACACAGAAAGATGGATGCTGGCAGAGGATTTGGAACGTTGCCTCGTCTCGTCAGAGTATTGAGTTTTTGTCGAAAGAGAATGATGAATGTGCTTAGTGGTATCTGAAAGCTGAAGGACTAATTTGCAGTGTGCCCTTAAGTCAATCAAAACCAGAGCTGCCTGAGATCTTTGGATTCATAAAAAAAAACCTTCTTTATTCCCCAAATTTAACTGTTTTGAGAGAGAGAGAGAGAGAGAGAGAGAGAGAGAGAGAGAGAGAGAGAGAGAGAGGGGTGTGAGCCAGAGGATAACTTTTGAGTGTTATCTTCAGGAACATAGTCTACCTCCTTGAAACAAGGTCTTTCACTGGCCTGGAGCTTACTAATCAGGCTAAGTGGTCTGGCCTGTAAACCTCAGAGATCCTCCTGTCTCTGCCTGTCCAGCAGCAGGATTACAAGCATGTACTAGCATGCCTCCACCTTTTAAGTGTGAGCTCTGGGGATTGAACTCAGGCCCTTATGCTTGTACAGCAAGCACTTTATTGACACCCTTGACATGTATAATTGAGTTTTCATAAGTATGTTGTATTTAGGTAAATTGCATATTGTTTGACTCATTTTTCCAAGTCTAATTATTGATGATAAGACACTAAGCATCAGGTGACAGGGGTTCTTGGAAAACTTGGCTCCATCTCTATCCATTCCACATGAAGCCCTTAAAATCTTGAAAATTTAGTGTTGTGGAATATTAGTTACATCTGTTTATGCTGTGGAATATTTGTTTAATGATGTAAAGGTGTGTTGCATCCATTTATGTTGCATTTGTTTAACTCTGTGAAGCTGTGATACTTTGCCTGTCTAAAACACCCGATTGGTCTAATAAAGAGCTGAGTGTCCAATAGCTAGGCAGGAGATAGATGGGCGGGACTGCCAGGCAGAGAGAATAAACAGGAGGAGAAGAGTGAGAAGAGCTGGAAGAAGAAGGAGAATTGAGAAAAGGAAGAGAGAGGCCGCCAGGGGCCAGCCACCCAGACAGCAATGGAGTAAGAAGTAAAGAAAGACATGCAGAATAGAGAAAGGTAAGAGCCCAGAGGCAAAAGGTAGATAGGATAATTCAAGTTAAGAAAAGCTGTCTAGAAACAAGCCAAGCTAAGGCTGGGCATTCATAAGTAATAATAAGTCTCCAGGTATTTATTTGGAAACTGGGTGGCAGGCCCCTAAAGAACAAAGAGTTAAAAAAAAAACTACAAGTCAGGATTTAATTATTGAGAATAAAGTTGGAGGTTATTCACGATTCCATTCAATATAACCATTATTGTTGAAGAAGTGGATGCACTCAGTTACCTCCCTTCCTGTCACTTACCAAACAGGTCAGTTGTTCATCCATCCTGGGACCCATATCATGGGCTCTTCTCTGCCTGGCCAGTCACTGGTACAGCATGGAGAGAAGTCTAGAATCCCAACTATGCAGCTTTTGTTTTCCCACAACCCAAGTGGCTGAGTCTGAATCTGCCAGAACTAAGCTGTTTAAGTGCCCCAGGTTCCCAGAATGGTGTCCCTAACGTGTGTCTTGTGACATCCCTTTTTTACCCACATTTTTTTTTGCTGTTTAAAAATATGATTTAACTTTTAAGTTTTCATACAAATATGTACTAAATGTTGAGCATATCCACCCGATACCTGATAACCTCCTTCCCCCCCCTTTCCCATGTTAGTTCTGTGCTTCCTTGGAGAGTTTAGCTTCTTCTTTCATGTCATACATATGTACATGATTTTATGTATGTATATAAAGTATAGGAATCACAGGTGGGACAAAATATATTAGCTGCATGGTGGTGGTGCCTGCCTTTAACCCAATCTCAGTACTCGGGAGACAGAGACAGGCAGATCTCTGTGAATTTGAGGCTAGCTTGGTCTACAAAGTGCGTTCCAGGACAGCCAGAGCTGTTGCACAGAGAAATCCTGTCTCAAAAACAAACAAACAAACAAACAAAATAAAACAAAACAAAAAACCCAAGAAGATATTTGTCTTTTTGAAGCAGCCTTAATTTGCTTAATATGATAATTTCCAGTAACATCCATTCCTGAGAACAACATACCTTCATTCCTTGTCTGTGGCTACAACACTCCATTTTGTATGTGTACACTTTTTATACACCCAGTT